AGGCCCGCAACCTCGAGACCACGGCGGTCCGCCAGCTGATCGACAGCGCCCCCCACCGGGGCCCCGACGCCTTGCAGGCGGGGCTCGTCGACAACCTCGGTTACTGGGACCAGGCGCGTGACGCCGTGGAGACGGCGGCGGGGTCGGAGTCCGAGCTGGTCTCGCTGCGCGACTACGCCCGCGCGACCCGGGAGGACTCCGAGGAGGGCCCGATCATCGCGCTGGTCCACGGCAGCGGTCCTATCGTGCTGGAACCCGGCGAGAACGACCCGGTGTTCGGCCGGGTGCGCATGGGCGCCGTCGACGTGGTGAACGCACTGTCGGAGGCGATCGACGACAGCGAGGTGGCGGCGATCCTGTTTCGCGTCGACAGCCCGGGCGGGTCCTACGTCGGCTCCGATGCGATCTGGCGCGAGGTCCAGCGCGCCCGCGACCTCGGCAAGCCGGTGGTGGTCTCGATGGGCAACATCGCCGGCTCCGGCGGCTACTTCGTGGCGGCGCCGGCGCACAGCATCGTGGCCCAGCCCGGCACCCTCACCGGCTCCATCGGCGTGGTCACCGGCAAGTTCGCCCTGAACGAGCTCTGGCGCGACCTCGGCGTCAACTGGGACGGCGTCCAGGCCGGCCGGCGGGCCAACCTCTGGAGCCCCCATGCCCCCTTCACGCGCGAGGAGTGGGAATGGCTGCAGGCAACCCTGGACGCCACCTACGCCGACTTCACCGACAAGGTGGCGCGCGGGCGCAACCTGTCGCCGGAGGCCGTTCAGGCAGCGGCCGGCGGACGCATCTGGTCGGGCGAGGACGCCCTGGCCGCCGGACTGGTGGACGACCTTGGCGGATACAGCAAGGCGCTGAGCGTCGCCAAGGAGGCGGCCGGCATTCCAGCCGACGCCGCCGTCCGGCTGCTGCCCTATCCGGAACGGCGTGACCCCTTCTCGGCCTTCTTTGAGGACACGCTGGGCGGGGAAATCGACAATCCGGGCGCTCAGGCCCTGGTGCGCAGCCTCGCCCGCCTGGTCCAGGCCGTCGCACCGCTGATCGAGGCGATGGAAGCGATGAGCGGCGATCCGCGCGGCCAGACGCTGCACAGCGGCCCGCTGCCGCAAAGCGCGCAGCCGCGCCCCGGCGCCTTTTAGGGAGCATCTTCGGGATAGCGCCGGCCCGCGAGGGAAACGCCGCGTTAAGTCGGCGTCTTGCGGGCCACCATCAGGAACTCCTTGTTGCCCTCCGGGCCGGTCACCGGGCTTTCGACGATGCCCTCGACCTGCCAGCCGGGCTGGGCGTTCATCCAGGCCTCGATCCGCTGGCAGACCTCTTCGTGCAGCGCCGGATCGCGCACCACGCCGCCCTTGCCGACACGGTCCCTGCCGACCTCGAACTGCGGCTTGATCAGCACGGCGAGGCGCGCCTCGGCCCGGGTGAGCGCCAGCGGCGCCGGGAGGACGACCTCCAGGCCGATGAAGCTGGCATCGCAGACCAGCAGGTCGACCGGCTCCGGCACCTCCGCCGCGCTCAAGGTGCGGGCGTTGCAACGCTCCAGCACGACCACGCGCGGATCGTTGCGCAGCTTCCAGGCCAGCTGGCCGTGCCCAACATCCACGGCATAGACCCGCGCCGCCCCGTGCTGCAGCAGCACATCGGTAAAGCCGCCGGTGGAGGCGCCGATGTCCAGGCAGACGAGGCCCGCCGGATCGAGATCGAAATGCGCCAGGGCGTGGGCCAGCTTCAGGCCGCCGCGGCTGACCCAGGGATGGTCCTGGCCGCGCACCTCCAGCGGCTGGTCCGGCGCCACCGCCTCGCCAGCTTTCTGGACCTTGCGCTCGCCGGCAAAGACCTTGCCGGCCATCACCAGCGCCTGCGCCCGGGCGCGGCTTTCCACCAGTCCGCGCTCGACCAGGGCCACGTCGATGCGAATCTTAGGGGCGCGGGTCTTGGCCGCGCGGCTCATGCGAGCGCCAAGCCCCCGTTGGGCAGGAAATGGGCACGGCGGTGGAACCGCCAGACAGCGGTCAGCGCGACAAAGGCCAGCCCCACCGCAAGGCCGGTCCAGACCCCCTGTCCGCCCAGGCCAAGGGGAAAGGCCAGGACGACGGAGGTCGTGAAGCCAACGCCCCAGTAGCCGGTCATGGCCAGCCACATCGGCACCTTGGTGTCCTTGAGGCCGCGCAGGGCCGAAATGGCGATCACCTGGGCCCCGTCGACGAGCTGGAACAGGGCGGCGATCACCAGGAAGGCGACCGCCAGTTCCACCACCGGCGCGTTGGCAGGCAGGTCGCGATCCAGAAACAGGCCCACCAGCTGGGGGCCGGCGAACCAGAACACCAGAGCCGAACCGGTCATGAACAGCATGCCGACCAGCAGCGACGACCAGCCCGCACGGCCGACCGCCGCGGGATCGCGGGAGCCCGCCGCCAGACCGACCCTGACCATGGACGCCTGGCTGATTCCCAGGGGCACCATAAAGGCCACCGCAGCGCACTGCAGCGCGATGGCGTGGGCGGCCAGGGCCTCCGTGCTGATCAGGCCGGCGAGGAAAGCCGCCCCCGCAAACAGGCTGGTTTCGGACAGGAGCGTGAGGCCGATCGGCAGGCCGATGCGAAACAGCTCGCGAAAACGCGGCCAGTCCGGCCGCCAGAAACGCACGAGGATCGCATAGCGTTTGAAGCGCCGGTCCCGCAGCACGAAAACGAGCATGGCCAGCAGCATCAGCCAGGACACAATGGAGCTGGTCACACCGGCCCCCATCAGTTCCCAGCGGGGCAGGCCGAAGTTGCCGAACATCAGGCCATAGTTGCCGATCGCGTTGGCGGCCACCGCCGCCAGGGTGATGATCAGGACCGAGCGCGGGCGCGAATGCGCCGTGACGAAGCAGCGCAGGACGACGAACCACAGCGACGGCAGCATCGCCCAGGTCACCGCCTTCAGATAGTCGTCGGCCCGCAGCGCGGTGTCCGCCTCCTGGCCGAAGAGCAGCAGCAGCCAGCGCCCGTTCCAGATGATCAGGCTGAAAAGGGCGGCAAACAGCAGGGTCAGCCAGAAGCCCTGGCGCACCGTCCGGCGCACGCCGTGGAAGTCCCGCGCGCCCAGCGCCTGGGCCGTCATCGGGGTGACGACGGTGGCGATGCCCATGCCGAACAGATAGAGCGGGATGAAGATGTTCATGCCGAGGGCGCCGGCCGCCAGATCCGCGGGCCCCAGCCAACCCATCATGACGATGTCGGTGGTGTTGATGCCGATCATCGCAAGCTGGGTGAGCGCCAGCGGCGCCGAGAGGCGCAGCGTGGCCCAGATCTCGCGTCGCCATAGGGAGTGCGGTGGGGGCGCTGTCAGAGGGGCGGTTGTCTCAGCCATTGTTTTTGACATCGTTTGCACTATGAAGACTATATATGGCCGTGAAAACCCGCATAAGCTGCAGGGCGGTCATGCAAACGGCGACTTGAAAGCCTGGAACACAGGCCCTGCATGATCTGCCATGGGCTCCGGACAAAGGCAACGGCGAAGAAGGGCCCCGATTTGCACAAGTGTTAACAGTTCATTAATCATGACAAGACTAATGACCATCTGGGCCAAGCGATACTCATCCGGGACGATCACCGCCGCATGAACCCGATTCCCTTTGACGAAGTCCAGCGACTGGCCTCTCTGCAGGCTCTGGATATCCTGGACACCCCGCCGGAGCCGGCATTCGATCGTATTACCCGCTTGGTCGCGGGACAATTCGACGTCCCCATCACCCTGATTTCCCTCATCGATCCGGCCCGGCAGTGGTTCAAGTCCAAGGTCGGGCTGGCTGTCGACGAGACGCCGCGCGAGTACTCCTTCTGCCAGTTTGCGATCATGGAAAACCGGGTTCTGCAGGTGCCGGACGCGACCAAGGACCTGCGCTTCGCGGACAATCCGCTGGTCCTCGGTGACCCGGAGATCCGCTTCTACGCCGGCGCCCCGCTGGTCACCCGCAACGGCTTCCGCCTCGGCACCCTCTGCCTGATCGACACCAAGCCCCGCCAGGCTATGGACGAGGCCCAGCAGGCACAGCTGCGCGACTTCGCCGATCTGGTCATCGGAGAAATGGAACTGCGGCGTCTGCGCCGGCTTCTGGGCGCCGAGTCCCAGGGGATCAGCCAGGAGGTCGCGGGGGCCCTCAACAGCCTGCAGCGCGCCGAGGAGGAGCTTTCCCACCAGGCGCAGATGGACGTCATCGCCCATCTGGCGCATGAACTGCGGACGCCGCTGTCGGCCATGCTGGGCTTCGCCGAGATCATCCGGCGGGAGTTCTTCGGCCCGATCGAGGACGAGCGCTATCCGGCCTATGCCACCAAGATCGAGAACTGCGGGCATCATCTGCTGAACGTTCTCAACGGGATGATGGACCTCGCGCGGGCCGAACGGGGCGGTCTGCGGCTGCAGGAATCGGTCATCGACCCGGAAAGCGTTGCGCGGCTCTCCGTCGAACTGGCCCAGCCGGAACTGGACCGCTTCGGCGCAACGGCGGTGGTGAGTTCCAGCCTGAAGGACCCGAGGATGCTGGCCGACCAGCATCAGCTCACCCAGATGCTGGTCAATCTGGTCGGCAACGCCGCGCGCCACGTTGCAAAGGGCAGCGAGATCGCCATCCGTACCGCGCAGCGCGCCGATGGCGGTTTCGATATCTCGGTCTCGGACGACGGCTGTGGCATGAGCGAAGCCGAGGTACGCGAGGCCGTCGAACCCTTCGGCCGGATCAGCGGCAGCGAGGCACGCCACCCCTCGGGCCTGGGCGTCGGCCTGCCCCTGACCAAGCGCCTCATCGAGATGCATGGCGGCACCCTGGCCATCGACAGCAAGCGCGGCGCCGGCACCACGGTCACCCTGCGGTTCCCCGCTTACCGGGTGCGCGAACCCGGAGCGCCGGCGAGCACCCAGCCGATCAATCTGCAATAAGGGACCGGGCGCGCCGCAACGCCGCCTCTCCTTTGCGCCCCGGGGATCACGGGGCGGATCAGCCGGGGATTAGCCGGAGATCAGGCGCGGGCCGGTGACTCGACCTCCTGCTGGCCCAAGGCCTGCAGCGCCGCGGCGAGGATGCCTTCGCGGTCGACCCCGGCCAGCGCCAGCTGACGCTCCGGCTTGTCGTGATCGATGAAGAAGTCCGGCAGGGTGACCGGGCGGAAGCGCAGCCCCTTGTCGAACAGTCCCTGGCGCGCGAGGAACTGCATCACCTGGGTGGCAAACCCGCCGATTGCGCCCTCCTCGACCGTGATCAGAACTTCGTGCTCGCCGGCAAGACGCCGTACAAGGTCCTCGTCCAGCGGCTTGGCGAAGCGGGCATCGGCCACCGTCGTCGACAGGCCGCGGGCGGCGAGATCGTCGGCAGCGGCCAGGGCATCGGCAAGGCGCGTGCCCAGCGACAGGATGGCAACCTTGCTGCCTTCACGCAGGATGCGGCCCTTGCCGATTTCCACTGCGCTCCCCCGCTCCGGCATCTCGATCCCCAGCGCCTCGCCGCGCGGATAGCGCAGCGCGGAGGGCCGGTCGTCGATCTGGCAGGCGGTCGCCACCATGTGCATCAGTTCGGCCTCGTCGCTGGGCGCCATGATGACAAAGTTCGGCAGACAGCCCAGGTAGGTCAGATCGTAGCTGCCCTGGTGGGTAACCCCGTCGGCCCCCACCATGCCCGCGCGGTCGATGGCAAAGCGCACCGGCAGGCTCTGGATCGCGACGTCGTGGACGACCTGGTCATAGGCGCGCTGCAGGAAGGTCGAGTAGATCGCCGCGAAAGGCCGGAAGCCCTCGCAGGCCAGGCCGGCGCAGAAAGTGACCGCGTGCTGCTCGGCGATCCCCACATCGAAGGTGCGATCCGGGAAGCGTTCGGCAAACTTGTTGAGGCCGGTACCGGACGGCATGGCGGCGGTGACGGCGACAATCCTGTCGTCATGCTCCGCCTCGGCGATCAGACCCTTGGCGAAGACGTTCTGATAGGCCGGCGCCTTGGGGGCGGGCTTGGCCTGCTTGCCGGTGACGACATCGAACTTCGCGACGCCGTGGTACTTGTCCGCCGCCGCCTCCGCCGGCTCGTAGCCCTTGCCCTTCTGGGTCACACAGTGGATCAGCACCGGGCCCTCGTAGTCCGCGTCGCGCACGTTCTTCAGCACCGGCAGAAGATGGTCGAAGTTGTGGCCGTCGATAGGCCCGACGTAGAAGAAACCCATTTCCTCGAACAGCGTGCCGCCGGTCAGCAGGCCGCGGGCATATTCCTCGGCGCGGCGCGCCGCCATCTCGATGGGGCGCGGGAAGCGCTTGGCCACAACCCGCCCGAGGCTGCGCACGGACTGGAACGGCTTGGAGGAAATCAGCTGCGAGAGGTAGGCGCTCATCGCCCCCACGGGCGGCGCGATGGACATGTCGTTGTCGTTGAGGATGACAATCAGACGGCTGTTCATGGCTCCGGCGTTGTTCATCGCCTCGTAAGCCATGCCGGCACTCATCGCGCCATCGCCGATCACCGCAATGACCGCGTTGTCATCGCCGCGGAAGTCGCGCGCAACGGAGAAGCCCAGGCCGGCGGAAATCGAGGTCGAGCTGTGCGCCGCACCGAAGGGGTCGTAAGGGCTCTCCTTGCGGCTGGTGAAGCCGGAGAGCCCGCCGCCCTGGCGCAGGCTGCGGATACGGTCACGCCGGCCGGTCAGGATCTTATGCGGATAGCACTGGTGGGAGACATCCCAGATCAGCCGGTCATCGGGCGTGTTGAAGACATGGTGCAGGGCCGTCGTCAGTTCGACGACACCAAGGCCGGCGCCCAGATGGCCGCCGGTCACGGAGACCGCCTCGATCATCTCCGCACGCAGTTCGTCGGCGAAGTCACGCAGCTGTCCTTCGTCGAGTTTGCGCAGATCCGAGGGGTCGGAAACGCTGTCGAGCAGCGGCGTCGGGCGCCGATTATGACCGATCTCTGCCAAGGCTTCTGCCACTCCTATGCTCTATCTGCTTTATCGTTATCTTTTGCTGCATCTTTTGCTGCGGCATCCTTCAGCGCGGCGCCTCTTCCTGCGAACCCCTTGCCACGGCTTTGGAGCCCCGATCGCGGAAGCGTCCGGGTCTTACCGGGGCCTCACGACCGTCGCGCGACCACAAAGGCCGCCGCCTCTCTCAAAAGGTCCGCCTTTTGGCCGAAAAGATCAAGCCGCCGACAGGCTGAATCCACCAGGGCCTCCGCCTTGTTACGGGCGCCTGAGATGCCAAGCTGGCCGACGAATGTGGCTTTTCCGAGACTTGCGTCCTGGCCCGTCGGCTTGCCGAGCGCTTCCGGCGTGCTTTCGGCGTCCAGGATGTCGTCGGCGATCTGAAAGGCGAGGCCGAGATCGCGGGCATAGTCCTTCAGCGCCTGCCGCTGAGGCTCGGGCGCCTGTGCCAGGATCGGGCCGGCCTCGCAGGAAAACAGGATCAGCGCCCCGGTCTTCAGGCTTTGCAGGTGGGAGATTCCGGCCAGGTCAAGCTCAGCGCGCTCCGGCGACATATCGATCATCTGGCCGCCCACCATGCCCGCCGCCCCGGCCGCGGCGGCCAGTTGCCGCAACAATTCAACCCGCACCGCCGCAAGGTCATGGGTCTCGGGCCCGGACAGAACCGCGAAAGCCTCCGTCAGCAGCCCGTCGCCGGCCAGGATCGCGGTTGCCTCGTCGAAGGCGATGTGAACCGTCGGGCGGCCGCGCCGCAGGTCGCTGTCGTCCATCGCCGGCAGATCGTCGTGGATCAGGCTGTAGCAGTGCACCATCTCGATGGCGGCCCCGACCCTGAGCGCCTGCTGCTCGGGGACATCGAAGAGGCGGGCCGATTCGCGCACCAGGAACGGCCTCAGGCGTTTTCCGCCCGACAGGGCGGCATAGCGCATCGCCTCGACAACGCGCCCGCGCGGTCCGTCGGTCTTCGGGAGCATCCGGTCGAGCAGGGCCGAAATCGTTTCTCCCTGGCTGGCCAAGGCATCCTGAAGTTTCATCGTCTGCGCCCCGGTCACCCCTGTTCAGTCGACATCGAGCGCGGTGGTGTCGGCCGTGCCGTCGGCCGAAAGGCTGATTTTCTCGATCTTGGCCTGCGCCTCGCGCAGTTTCTGATCGCAATGGCGCTTCAGGGCCGCGCCGCGCTCGTAATCCTCGATCGCGGAGTCAAGGGCGCCCTGTCCCTGCTCCAGCTTGGCCACGATCTGCTTCAGGGCGTCGAGCGCCTCCTCGAAGCTCATCGCCTGGATGTCGTTGGGAACCTCGTTCTTGGGCATCCGTTTCCCCCCCGGGGTGTGTCTGGTCCTCGTGCGCCATGTCGACCGCTGCGGGCGGCCGGCGTCGTTCCCAATTCAGCGGTCCCGCCCTTTAACGCAGTCGGCGCCAGAGGTCAAAAGCGCATCAGCGTGCGGACATGGGCTGCGGCACAGCTGGCCAGAGCCGCATGATCGTAGCCCCCCTCCAGAACCGAGACCAATCGCCCCCCACAGGCGCTGCGGGCCAGCTCCATCAACTGCTGCGTCGCCCAGGCATAGTCCTCCTCGACGAAGTTCAGGCTGGCCAGGGGGTCGTCGGCATGGGCATCGAATCCGGCCGAGATGAACACGAACTCCGGCTCGAAGCGCGTCATGGCCGGAATCACACAGTCGCGCATCGCCTGCCGGAACTCCGCCGATCCGGCCGGCGGCGGCAGCGGCACGTTGATGATGTTGTTTGCAACGCCGCGCTCTTGCGCGCGTCCGGTTCCGGGATAGAACGGAAACTGATGCGTCGAGGCGTAGAACAGGTCCGGATCGTCCCAGAACATGGCCTGGGTTCCGTTGCCATGGTGGACATCGAAATCGACCACGGCGACGCGGTGGCAGCGGTGCACCTCGCGGGCATGCAGGGCGCCGACCGCGACATTATTGAACAGGCAGAAGCCCATGGCCTGGCGCGGCTCGGCATGGTGGCCCGGCGGGCGGACCGCGCAGAAGGCGTTGTCGGCTTCGCCCGCCATCACCGCGTCAACCGCCGCGACCACCGCGCCGGCGGCCCGCAATGCGGCTTCGCCCGAGCCCGGCGAGACGATGGTATCGGCATCCAGCATGCGGTCGCCATGGTCCGGTATGGCGGCCAGAACCTCGTGCACGAAGCTGTCAGGATGGACCCGCGCAATCTGTCCATGCTCGGCGCGCGGGGCTTCGCGGCGCAGCAGACCGGAAAACTCGGGACTGTCGAGAGTCTTCATGATGGCCTTGAGACGGCCCGGATTTTCCGGATGAAGAGGCCCGGGATCGTGCTGCTCGCAGGCGGGATGACTGAAAAGAAGCGTACTCATACGGCGGCCCTGGCTCTGGGGGGTCGGCCCATCATAGCCCGTGACCGCCCGGCGTCATCCCTGCAATTTCAACCGAAATGCGGTTTCCTGCCTAAATGAATTGTCAGGAGACAGCGGCGCAGACTGGGCCTATGCTGCCGCAGTTGTTGGCTTGGCCCATTGACTCCCTGCGGCCAGACGCCAAATCAATGATCTATTTAGTTTTTTTGAGATCCCGCCAATTTGCGCGAGAGTCGCGGCGTCGGCAGGGTGTTTGGAGATAGGCGAAACATGGGGTTGAAGGCGGCACGCCGGTGTCTGGCGATTGCGGTGGTCTGTCTTGCGGGAGCGAGCCTTGGCAGCGGTTTCGCGGTTCAGAACGCAACGGCGCAAAACAACGCCTCCCTGGTGCGTGTCGATGCCGTGCGCAGCGAACCGCTGACCCAGACGGTGCCTGTGGTGGGCCGCCTCGTCGCCCGACAGGCCGGGTCGGTCGCCGCCCGGGTCAGCGGCCCGATCCAGGAGTACACCGTCGAGGTCGGCGACCGGGTTGCGGCCGGCGATGTCATTGCCGTGCTCGACAGGGTGTCGATGGAGGCCGAACGGGATCTGGCGGCCGCGGGCCTTTCCGTGGCCCGGGCAGAGTTGAGGACCAAGCAGGCCGAGATCACCCTGGCACGACAGGAACTGCAGCGCCTGGAGGGGCTGAAGCAGTCCGCCGCCTTCAGCCAGGCCCGTTTCGACGATGCCCGTCAGGAGGTCGCCATCGCCGAGGCTGCGGCCAGCGAAGCGGAGGCCGCGGTGACCAGCGCCCGCGCCACGCTGCGCTTGGCCGAAATCGACCTGGAAGACGCCACCGTGCGCGCGCCCTATGACGGGGTGATCACCCAGCGCCTGAGCGAGGCCGGCTCCTATGCGCAGGACGGCGCGGCTGTGGTGCGCATGATCGCCGATCAGACCCTGGAGGTGGAGGCTGACGTGCCGGCCAACCGGCTGCTGGGACTCACCTCCGGCGCCGCCGTCGAAGTGGTGCTGGACGACGGGACCCTGATCGGGGCGACGGTCCGGGCCGTGATCCCCGACGAGAATCCGCTGACCCGGACCCGTGCCGTGCGCTTCGTGCCGCGCTTCGGAGAGATCAACAGCCCGCTTGCCAACGAGCAGTCGGTCACCGTGATGGTGCCGGTTGGCGCGCCGCGGGACGTCGTCTCCGTTCACAAGGACGCCATCATCAAACGTCCCAACGGCACCATTGTCTTCGTTGTCTCCGAGGGTCAGGCACAGCCGCGCCCGATCGTGCTGGGCGAGCCGGTCGGCAACCGCTACGAGGTCGTCCAGGGCCTCGACGAAGGCGAGCAGACCGTGGTGCGCGGCAATGAACGCCTGCGCCCCGGCGCCGCCGTCCAGATCGACGGAGAAACCTGATGAACCTCATCAAGCTCGCCATCGAAAGGCCGATCGCGGTCATAGCCGCGGTGCTGATGGTGGTGATGTTCGGGATCGTCGCGCTGCAGACCATCCCCATCCAGCTGGCGCCCGATGTCAACCGGCCGGTCATCACCGTATCGACGAACTGGGGCGGCGCCGCGCCGGCCGAGGTCGAGCGAGAGATCACCAACCGCCAGGAAGAAGAGCTGAAAGGTATCGAGGGCCTGGAGACCATCACCTCGCGCTCCGAGCAGGGCCGGGCCCGCATCACCCTGGAGTTCGCCGTCGGCACCAATATGGACCGCGCTCTGCTGCTGGTCTCCAACCGGCTCGACCGGGTGAACGGCTATCCGGACGAGGCCGACGAACCCTCGCTGGATACCGCCGGCAGCGAAGACAGTCCCATCGCGTGGTTCATCATCACCCGCGAGGACGGCAACGAACGGCCCATCCACGAGTACGGCGACTTCGCCGAGGACATTCTGCGCGAGCGCATCGAACGCGTTCCCGGCGTCAGCCGCGTCAATGTGTTCGGCGGGACGGAGCGGGAAATCCAGGTGATCGTCGAACCCAAGGTGCTGGCGCGCTACCGCATGACGGTGAGCGAGGTCGTCGATGCCCTGCGCCGCGCCAACGCCTCGCTCAGCGCCGGCGACGTGGACGAAGGCAAGCGGCGCTACGTGGTCCGCACCGAGGGCGAGTTGAACACCCTGGAAGCGATCCGCGACGTCGTGGTGCGCAGCGATTCCAATGACGACAGCGGCCGCCTGGCGCGGGTGCGGATCGGCGACATCGCAGAGGTTTCCTACGGCTACAAGGAAGCCGGGGCCTCGATCCGCATGCTCGCCCAGGGCGCCATGGCGATGAACGCCCAGCGCGAAACCGGCGCCAACGTCATCGAGACCATGGACGGCATCAAGGCAGCGGTCGAAGAACTGCGGGCCGGGGTGATCCCGGCCGAGGGCCTGAGGCTGCGCCAGGTCTACGATGAGACGGTCTACATCAACTCCGCCATCGATCTGGTGCAGCAGAACATCTGGGTCGGCGGGACCCTTGCCGCCATTATTCTTCTCGTCTTCCTGCGCTCCGTCCGCGCCACCCTGGTGGTGTCCATCGCGATTCCGGTTTCGGTCATCGGCGCCTTCGTGGCCATGGCCGCCATGGGACGCTCCATCAACGTGATCTCCCTGGCCGGCATCGCCTTTGCGGTCGGCATGGTGGTGGATGCCGCCATCGTGGTGCTGGAGAACATTTACCGCCTGCGCGAACAGGGCCGGCCGGCCCGCGAGGCCGCCTATCTGGGCGCCAAGCAGGTCTGGGGGGCGGTGCTCGTCTCCGCCCTGACCACCGTGATGGTGTTCATCCCCATCCTGGTGATGCAGCTGGAGGTGGGCCAACTGTTCCGCGATATCGCGGTGGCCATCTCGGTCTCCGTCATGCTGTCGCTGCTGGTCTCGGTCACCGTGCTGCCGGCGCTCTCCAGCTGGCTGCTGAGCGGCGGCAGCAAGAAGCTGGACGAGAAAAGCATCACCCGTCTGCGCCTGCCGCTGGTCGACTGGCTGGCGGAAAGGCTCATCGCCATCATCATGGGCTTCGTGCGGCTTGTGGTCGCCAGCCGCCTGGTGGCTTTCGTGGTCGTGGCGTCCGTCACGACAGCGGCGTCAATGGGCGCCTGGCACTTCCTGCCCAAGCTGGAATACCTGCCGGAAGGCAACCGGAACCTCGTTTTCGGCATCATCATTCCGCCGCCGGGCTACAACCTCGGCACCACCACCGACATCGCCAAAGGCATCGAAGCCGCGACCCGGCCGCTCTGGATCACCGAAAGCGGCATGGAAGCCGACAGCTACCAAACCCAGGAAGAAGACGGCTTTTCCCTGGACGGCATCGGGGAAGGCTTCACCGGGGCTTTGAGGTCTCTTTGGCCCGGCGGGGCAGAAAACGCCGAGCCGCCGCAGATCGAACGCTTCTTCTTCGTCGCCACCAGGGCCACCACCTTCCTAGGCGCCACCGCGGTCGACCCGCAGCGCGCTTCGGAGCTGATCCCGGTCCTGGAGGGCCCGGTGTTCCGCGAGCCCGGAACCTTCGGCTTCATCAACCAGCCGTCGATCTTCGGGCGCGGCATCGGTTCGGGCCGCAAGATCGACTTCGACATCTCCGGTCAGGAGCTGGAGACCATCCTCGGCGTCGCCCAACAGGCGGTGGGCCGAATCTCGCAGATCCTGCCGCGCAGCGAGGGCCACCAGCTGCGCCCGAACCCGGGCCTGGAACTGGGCGCACCGGAAGTGCGGCTCTTCCCCAACCGCCTGCGCCTTGCCGACAACAACGTGACCGCGCGCGAGCTGGGTGAAGCCATCGACACCTTCAATGACGGCCTCAGGGTGGCGGAGGTCACCGTCGGCTCCGACCGCCTGGACCTGATGCTGAAAGGCCCGGATTACAACGTCGTCGAGACCCAGGGCATCGCCAGCCTGCCGGTGGTGACTCCCAGCGGCGACATCATTCCGGCTTCGTCTCTGGCTGAAGTGGTGCTGACCTCGGGACCCACCGAAATCCGCCACCGCGAGCGCTTCCGCACCGTCACCCTGGAAATCCGCCCCGCCCCCGGCATTCCACTGGAAGCCGCCCTGGACACCCTGCGCAGCGAGGTCATGGAGCCGATGGAGGCCGAGGGCCTGCCGCCCGGGGTCACGTTCAACATTTCCGGCACGGCCGATAAACTGACCCAGACCTGGGAAGCCATGGTCCTGGATCTCCTGCTGGCGCTGGCCATCGTTTTTCTGGTCATGGCCGTGCTGTTCGAGAGTTTCATCTATCCGCTGATCATCCTGCTTTCGGTGCCTCTGGCCGCCGCCGGCGGCGTGGCCGGGCTGGTTGTGCTCAACACCTCCGTCTACCAGCCGCTCGACATGCTGACCCTGCTCGGTTTCGTCATTTTGATCGGCATCGTGGTGAACAACGCCATCCTGCTGGTGCATCAGACGCTCTATCACCTGCGCGAAGAGGGCCTGGCCGCCGGCGCGGCGATCGTCGAGGCGACGCGCAACCGCATCCGGCCGATCTTCATGTCGACCCTGACGTCGGTCTTCGGGATGCTGCCGCTGGTGCTGTTCCCCGGCGCCGGCTCGGAGCTCTATCGCGGCCTGGGGTCGGTGGTGGTCGGCGGCCTCTCCCTCTCCGCCATGCTGACGCTGCTGATCATCCCGCCGATGATGGCGCTGCTGGTCGGCGCGCTGGAAGGGCGCAAGGCCGCGTCCGGCCCGAAGGTGGCGGGCCCCGCACAGCCGGCCCCCGGAGAGTAAGGCCGGCAGAAGCAAGGCGCAGGAGGAAACAAGGCCCATGAGAGTGGGCCCGGCAGGCCGGGGCTGTCGGGAACGGTCCCGGCGCGGCCCCGCCGCTTCTAGCCGGCTTTCCTGATCTGGAAGGTAAAGCGGCCCTCCGCCTCGTCCCAGGACAGCAGTTCATCGCCCGTGGTCTGGCAAAAAGCCTGGAAATCCGCGACCGCGCCCGGATCCGTGGCGATGACTTCCAGGACCGCGCCGGCTTCGACCGATTTCATCGCCTTTCGGGCCCGCAGGACGGGCAGCGGGCAG